AGCCGCGGGCCGAGCCGCAGCCGGAGCCGGAGCCGGAGCCCGAGCCGCGGGGCGGGCGCGAAGATGCACACGACGCAGAAGGACACGACGTACACCAAGATCTTCGTGGGGGGGCTGCCCTACCACACCACCGACGCCAGCCTGCGCAAGTACTTCGAGGTCTTCGGCGAGATCGAGGAGGCGGTGGTCATCACCGACCGGCAGACGGGCAAGTCCCGGGGCTATGGATTTGTAAGTTGCACGGCTTGGGGCGGTGGGGGGGCCGTGGCGACAAAGAGCCGGGCGGGGAGGCGCCGAGTGGCGCTCGGCCAGGGGTCGCAGCTGTGGCCAGGGGCTCGGCTCGGCGGGACCCGGAGCGGCGCTGCCCCTTCGCCCCGCGCTGAGCTGAAACTTCGCGCGCGGAGGCGCGCGGGGAGGGAGGGCCGGGTTCCGCGGGGACTCCGCGCGGGGCTGGGTCGGGGCCCGGGCGGGGCAGGGGTGGAAGGAGAGGACCGTGAGCATCGCCGGATTTGGGGTGCGGCGGGCCGCGAGGGAGGGGCCGTAGCCCCGCGATTGCAATCCTGGGTTGAGGCCGGTTGTTAGGCGCGCCGTTGCTTTGTAAAAACGCTTGTGTCTTCTGGCGTTTCGCCTGGGATAGGGAGGGGACACACGGTGAGGTGTGGGGTTCGTTCCCTCAAGTCACACCCCCGCCTTTTTAATTGCAAAGGGGGGTTCTTAAAAAAAAAAAATAATCCTTTGCTGAACCGAGACAGCACTGTTAGCTCCCTGGAGATTTAAACGCGCAAATTCAGCTGCCGAAGAGCAGGGTGCCCCCAGAGTAGGACAATAGCTATTGTCGTTGGGTAGTGTTTACGGTGGTTGGGACCGTAGGGCAGATGTGAGGCTGAACTTTGTTTAAAACAAACAGTCGGCCGCTTAGGGACCTGCGGGGTAGGGGTGGGGGTGCAGGTGGAGGCCGGAGGATCTACAGGAGTTCTAAGAACCCAGGCTTCCAAAATTTCTGCTAGGCCCTACCAGCACACAGGAGTTAGGGTTCGGGTGGAGGGTTTCTCCATTTCTTCTTTTCTTTTTTAACGGGGGCGAGGGGTTGAGGAGTAAGATCCAGAAAAAGAATGAAAGAAGGAAAAAAGAGAAAGAAAGAAACAAAAAGTTTGATCTGTTTCTCTAGCATGACTTCTGCAGGGCCATTTGAGTTTCTTTCCGGGGTTAATTTAGAGCTTTGTGTGTTTGTCTATGTGTGTGTGTGTGTGTTGCTAAGGTCACCATGGCTGATCGGGCTGCGGCTGAAAGGGCCTGCAAGGATCCCAACCCCATCATTGACGGCAGAAAGGCCAATGTGAATCTGGCATACTTAGGAGCAAAGCCAAGGATCATGCAACCAGGTGAGAAATGTCTGTCTCCCTCTTCCCCTCCCCAAATCCCACCACTTAGAAGTAGAGACTTTCACTGATCCAGAAGATGCTGGCTTCCTGAGAATCTATAGATGTGTTTGGCAAACTTTCGTGGCTGATTATCCTGCTGAGGCATTAAAGATGAAAGATAAAATACTCCTTTCAGGACTTGAAATGTATCTGTGTTCAAAAAAAGATCTTAGGGTCTGGATAATTTGGCAAGATACAAGAGCTTGTTTCCTGTATGGTATGCATTTGTAGTCTGCTCTCAACTTTCCAATTTTTAGCTAGCCACTTGTAGTTAAAAATGTGAATTGTGGGGATTATATGGGCCCAATTTGTCATCTGCAACTAGTGCACCTCCGTGCTTAGTGCAGTCTCTGCTTTTGTCACCAGTTGCGCGGTGTTCAGAGAAGGCAATCTGACTTAAACACTGACCCCAGGGAGGCATAGGGTGGGGGTGGTATCCGGGTGGTAAAGCTTTCCCATAGGCTGGCAGAATACTAGCCAAGAAAATGGAGTGACATCACCTACTTGTGGTCCAGAGGTTTAAAATTTATGCTAACTTAGAGATGAGAAATAGCCTACTTGAAGTCATGAACTATTAGATGCCAAAGGTGGGCAGCAGCATTTTTCCTGTGAAGACATGACCTGTCGGATTATTTGTCACACTGAGTTTTGCATTAGCGCAAATAATCGAGAGTTGACTATAGAGTGAATTATTTCCTTGGGCAAGCAAGAGGAACTTGTTTTCATTAATTTTAATACTGTAAACCATAAAACCCATCATTTTCCAAAGCAGTGTCCAAAGCATGTCAAAATTCTCCAAATTACAGACTTTCTAGTGGATCCCGGTTGAGAACTGTAGGAGTATTTGTGACATATAACTTCATTGTCAAGTCTTGTTGTCTTTGGTTTCACTTCATGAGCATTTTTCTCTGCTCTAATTTTTCTATGGTCTTATTCTGTATCTGTCAACTGAACTTTGGGTGTTTTTTCTTTTTAAGTTTCCATTTGTAGTCTGTTAAAAACTTTATTCCATATCAATGATAGCATTGACAAAAATAACTTTTAAAATATATACACATATATATTCTCTAAAGTATCACAAGAGGATGCTTCCCTTTTTAAATCAAAAGTTAGGATCACATTTTACATGTAAGTGTAGTAAGTAATTAACTATACACAAACGGAGAATGTGTTATGTTTTATTGCTAGGTTTTGCCTTTGGTGTTCAGCAACTTCATCCAGCCCTTATACAGAGACCCTTCGGGTAAGTCAATTCATCAGGCCCTCTGAAGTGTCAATATGGCTATCATTTGTTCATCTGCCTCTTTGTCATATACAGACAAGATCAACATGTCACAAAATGTTCCTGGTGATACATATTTATATATGTTTGTGTATTTTTAATTCAAAGACTATAAATATTTTTAGATGAGTCAAGTTATCTGACCCAAGTATGCAGCCTCCAAACCAGACAAATGTTGAGCTTATGATTAACAAAACAAAACAAAAATACCAGGTATGACTTGTGTACCAGACTACTGTGTCCCGTCGTCATTACTGCTGTTCAACTTGACTCAATTGTATTTATCTCTTTCTAACCTGACAGGGCTCGTATACAGTTAAGCTAACTGATGAGAAGGATACCATGATAAGAGGTGGAATAGTTCTGTTTGGAATTAAACTCTGTAACCAGTAGACTCAGACACACAAGCTCAGATGGTGATTAACGATGCATGGATGTTGGTGTTGTTGTTTTATTTTTCACAATAGTCAATAGCCCTCCGTGTGCTTTATTTTATTTATTACAGTCATGAAGTGGTGTTGATAGCTAAACTGTGTGCTTTTTACTTAATTGAAAAGAGCTGTAGTGAAAGTTTTCTTTTCCTCGGGGAAGGGGCTCTTTGCGTTTTGGTTTTGGTGGTGGTGTTGAGGAGTGTGGACTTTTCACTTTGCCATGGGAAGCAAAGGGCCTTTTTTTCTCCCCCTGCTTTTTAAGCTATAGCCTGTGACTTCCATTTAACCATATCTTTGTAGTGAGTGCTAAATTGTGTGATTTCTCTCTGTAAGAATACGGATTCATTGCTTGCATGTCCTAAGTTTCTGTTTTATGGGAAGTTGTCTGGGAATGGGATTCTTTCTTTTATAATGTATATCCACTTTTAGGTCTTCTAATTTAAAGGTTCAACAGCTGTCATCAGACTTCATTAACACTAGCCAGTTTTGTTTTCCTTTTTTTTTTCTTTTTTTTAATTTGAGTAGCATAGCACTGTCTTCTCCCTTACAGACCTGACAGGTGCTCATACTTGTGTTAGCACTAGACCCTGTCATTACCAGCTTTCCTGTTATGAGGTCTCAATTCCTTTCCATTTAGACATATTATGGGTAGGATGTCACCACCTGCAATTTTCCTGGGTGCTAAAGTCTGTCTGGGCTGTATTTTACCTGATCAATGTTGCTGTAATCCTAATACCAGAAATTTAAGCTTCCTTTAGTTGTTCAAAGTATTTTATTCTCAGTACTCATTTCTGCTCTAGCTCAAGATCTAAACATTTGCATATGTAACCTACAAGGCTGGAATCTGTCTACATAGATTCTATCATGTGTGTCTCCAAGAACAGACCAAAAAACAAAAATAACAATTTGACTTAAAATAGTCAAATTATATTTTCCATGAACACTTTCTTATTTCTTTACCTTTGCCATACAGTACCTTACTCTTACTGCCAGATCTGACTTGTTTTAGCTGAAGAATCTTTTCTCCAATATGATCAGAAAAGACCCATATGCATAGTTATATAAGTCCCCATCTAAGCCAACTTAGATACTGCCATCAAAGGATGGGTGGAGGGGTCTGGCTATGTACTCCATTGGTCTAGACAGGTATTTGTATATGCTCATTTTTTTTTTTTTTTACTGTGCAAAATTAAGAAATTATGCATTTGTTTGGGGAGCAAAAAATACAAACCCATCAAGGATCACTAACTGCTGACTGAGTTGGTATGGTTTTAGCTACAAATGGATTTCAGCAAATGGACTAGCAAGAAAATAGATGAATTGGAAGAACTGGACAAGGCTGTAGCAGAGTGAGGTAGACTTGAGCTTGACTGAGGCCAGTAGTTATGTCTTGGGCAGGTTAAAAGAAGATTGAATGTGTCTGAAGAGTATCGTGTAGACAGTATGGACAAAGGCATGAAGGAGAAAAAACTTCATACATGGAGAAACCAGACTAAATGGAAGGTCTTGACAGCTGGGTATAAACATTTGGCCTAGATGTGGTTGTCTTTAAAGATCCGTGAAAAAGAAAGCACCATGAGGAGAGTGAGAACCACCAGAGTAAAGTGTGTCATATGGAAATTTTAAATCAGACATGTTTTGATAGTTAGCTTTTGTTTTTCATCTCTTCTAATATTAACTGTCTTTATAAAGGATGGTGATTAGTACCGTGTTCATAAATTGTTAGGAATAGATAGCATTCCAGGTGGACCATGTAAGCTTTCTCTTTCTTTTTTAAGGGATTCTCAACCCTGCTGTAGTTCTGAGTCTGTACCCAACAAATCACACCTGGTGATCCTAAATTCTATTTGAATGCCAATATTCTTATTTTAGGCCTGGAAAGAAGCTTGAGAATTTTAAATTTATTTGATGTTTGAAATTCTAGTGATGAAACTATTATTTTAATACTGTCCTTAAATGCCCCCCTGCCAGGGTGTCCTGGGTCTCCAAAGACAAAACATTAGCCCAGAATAATTTCTGATTTAACACAGTGGGCAGACGGAGAGAAGCTTGTAAATTTTCTGAATAATGCCGTATAAGTAGCTTATGCTTGAAGGCAGCATTTTCTTACTGCAGCCTTGGACAAGAGAGACTACAGATCCATGAAGACAAGTTGTTGAACCTGTTTAGATCAGGTTGAACATAGACTTAAGCATTTACTTAGTATACATTTCCATGCTAGGTTTTGTGCTAGGTGTGATACCCCTATGCTAGATATTTATTACGTCCACTATGGGCAGGAGGGACTGTAACTAACATTTACCCAACATCTGCTACATGATACTGAATTTACATAAATTTACATGATACTGGATTTACATAAATTATATAATTTAATTCTCACAATGAGAATTTGAAAAATGAACTGTTATTGTTCTTTCCATGGGCAGAACAAGCAAAGGAGCAAACAAAAAATCTGAGATGCAGGAAGCTTAATTAACTTCCTCCAACCACAGGACTAGTAAGTGTTCCAGTCTGATTCTGGGTTCAGAAACATGGTCTGCCTGACCTCAAAAGCTGTGAGGGAGAGTTACAGCTCAGTAGTTTCAGAACTCTTCATGAAATAGAAATTGTCCTAGAATTCATAGGGAAGAGAGGACAAGGAGCTCTTTTATTGAACATTCAGTATGCTTATCATTGTAGGCTTTCCCCATAGACCATTTTATTTAATATGCAGCAAATGGGATTGATAATTTCAGTCCATTTCACATATGATAAATGTGAAACTAAAAGGTGAAACAAATTGGTGAAGGCTGTACACATAGTGATCGCTAGAGCTGAGGGAAAGGGCTGGGATTTCATCAGGCCCAGGTGGAGTAAGGATTGGCAAACCAGGTGAGGGACCGATTGTCATAACCAAGGCAAGGACCTGGGATTCTGCGGCACACCCGGGAAACTCTGAGGAGTCCAGTTGAACTGGATTCAAGGAAAGGTGAAAAGAAACGTTAGAGGTAGTTTAGATTCAGATGCATAAAGGCCTGACATACCAAGGTTTAAGAAATGTGCGCATCATTTGGTTCCATGTTATGGGTCAAGAATGCCTTTGAACAAATGAATGAGATGATACTTTGTCAGCAGTTTTGTTCAATAGATTGGAAGAGGAAGTCAGCATGTTACTTCAAAGTCACAGAGATGTCAGAAGGGCCTGAAGAGATGGGAAGAGAAAGAATATGTGGTAACTTTTCTTTGAAAATGACCCAAAATAGCGGCTTTGCTCTTGCGCTTTTGCAAGTGCTAGGCATATGTGCTCAGTGGTTAATTGCAGGAAAGGATATTGGTAGAAATGTAAAAAGCAAGAGATTCCAAATTGTGTCTCAGTGGGTTGTGTAGGCAGGCAAAAGAACTCCTCATGCAGGGATTGGTTCCAAGTGTGCCCTCCCCTTTAGTCCCTCCCCTTTAGTCCAATTGGCCTTCTTTCCTGACCCAAGATACACTGGGCTTTCCGTGGCCTCCTGTGTTCTCCTTTTCCCTAAGCCTTCAGGGCCCTGACTTTTCATTTGCCTACCAGACATCTTCCTTTTCCTTGCTAAAGTTCATGTAGGCGTCTGATGCGCCCCCAAAATTATACTTTCATTGGTTGTCTCTATCAACTCTAATTATTTCTTAATGGAAAGTTAAGTGCTGAGATAAGAGTCCTCTAAGCAACCCTTCCTATATGTTAATGCATTTTTTTCACATGCATACCCCCCAGAGAGAGAGAGAGACAGAGAGGGAATTTTGTCTTGGCTGTTTGTAGAATGTGTAACTTCTTTTTGTCTAACTCCCTTAATCAAAAACACGAGCCTAACAACCACTGTGTTGTCCTTGAAACTTTAGGACTCCCAAGGGTTAATGTTTCGGTATCAGTAAGGCTCATGCTGGCTGGCCTTTGCAGCTGATAGATGCTTTACTTTGGCCTTATAAAGACATTTTACCCGCTGGAAACCCTTGTCGCATGACAGGATCAAAAATAGCCCGGCTGCAGCCACTGCTGTCTATCACCACATGTAAACTGGCAGGGGAGGAGGCTCTCTTAGCCGTGTCTGCACATTGTGGATGTGGCGGCACCAGGGACAGTGAAAATAAAGCCACACCTGTCGCTGAGAATGAGCCAGTCACCTGATCTGCAGCAAGGTTCTGAGTGTGGACATGACCACGCATCTGGTTTCTGATAAGAAGTTAAGAACATCTCTTAAGTGTCCTCAGAAACACTTGATGACGTCGTTTCTCCTGGCACTGGGAAAGATCTACAATTCTAGTAACACTGAGTGTATTTTTATCACTGGGGTCAAAGTTCACTCCCCTCTGATAAATTTATCTTTTCCATAGATGCCCATTAATAAATGCTTTCAGTACAATTCTGGAAAGAAAAAGCAAAATCTATGCTTCTGAAAAATGTAAATATGAGATCTTGTTTTGAGTTCTTTAGAATTTGAAGATTGTTACTTGCACTTCTGCTTCTTATAAGTCGGGATAGTTGATATCTGATAGCATTCTAGTGTCATATTTTTAGAAAGAGAGTGGGCTTTGATGGAGACTATTTTAAAGAAAGATGAAAATAAATATTTAAGTTAGTGTTTTATAAATGGACAGTAATGAATTGCAGCAGTGAGAATTAAGATGCATGGGGTTCTTTTTACATCTATCTTACAACTTATTTTTTAACCAAATTAACTTTTAAGTAAGGTCATTGGTGTCTGTCTTGTATGTGATCTGTGAATGTATAATTTTAAAAGGTACCTGGTTTTGTTTCTCTCTCTTGAACTTTGCAGGATAATGCATAATCATACAGTTGATGCTTACAAAGTATTAACTAGTAGGGCAGATTTAAAACAGATATGGTAATACATCTATTTCTGTTGATCTGGAGAATAAGAGTTAGTCAATGTGCAGAATAAATGTTTATTTATAATGTATGCCTGTTAAGTTTCTGTGAACTTTGGAAGTATTTAGTTGTCTTCCCTGTTCTTGCCTTTTCCCTGGCCCACACCGTGTCCCCAACACTCCTTCTGTCTGTCTTGCATAGAGATAAACAAGATGGCTGACGCTCAGGTGCCTGGTAGTCAAACAGGTTTGGTTGACCATTGTGTCCTTATGGATGTTACGGAAAAATAAGAGAGAAAGAGAGAAAGAAAGTGTGCTGCACAACTCTGGGAATCACTGCCATGAATATTAATAGCATTTTTGTAGCTTCCCACAACAGCCTAGCCTCTTGTGACAGAGTGAGCTGCACAACAGTTCGTTTGAGAAGTGTGATTCTGCTGTGTTTACCACACTTGTGAACTTTTAAACTCCTTTTTTTATTTTGTCGCCTGCTTCTTTTTTTTTAATTATCATTTTTAATAAGGGTGACTGAGGTTGCAGAGAGATTAATGTGTGCTGAGTCTGCATAGCAATTTCCAGTAGGGTTGCCATGATAACAGCCATCTAAACTTTGTGGAAATTGTAGTTCTGACAAGCTGGCCGTCACCCCCTCAGAAGTGGGTGATCACGTATGGTATTACTTCCGAGTCTTATAGTCACAGCTATGAATTTTTCCATTTGCTATTTTTCGTATATGAACTCCATATAAAATTTTCTAAAGACTTATTTCATTAAAACTTTCCTATGTGTGCACACCCCTCACCAACCTTGATTTATCTTCCAAACTTTTCACCGGTAATATTCAATGGGCTTAAATAATCCTACGTGAAAATTCTAGCAAGAAGCGTGTCATCCTGTTTTCACGGTTGAACTCTTTTCGGGGTGCTCCGTGACTTTGGCCAGAGTGTTTCCATGGACCACTAGAAAGATATTGTGGCAACCCTATGTTCATAATAACCACTAAATTTGAGTTTGTCTCATCTCTGAACAATAAGTGCTACGGATAGGAAGTGATGGCTGCCTGACTTTGTCTTCCATTTCTCCACAGGATACCTGCCCACTATGTCTACCCGCAGGCTTTTGTGCAGCCTGGAGTGGTCATTCCACATGTCCAGCCCACAGCAGCTGCGGCCTCCACCACGCCATACATAGATTACACTGGAGCTGCATACGCACAATACTCAGCAGCTGCTGCCGCCGCAGCCGCCGCTGCTGCCTATGACCAGTACCCCTATGCGGCCTCTCCGGCTGCTGCAGGATATGTCACCGCTGGAGGCTATGGCTATGCCGTCCAGCAGCCCATCACTGCCGCTGCACCTGGGTCTGCAGCTGCAGCCGCGGCAGCAGCTGCCGCCGCCGCAGCATTTGGCCAGTATCAGCCCCAGCAGCTGCAAACAGACCGAATGCAATAGACCAGCCATCCAATCAAAGTTGAATTGTTTTCTCGTTCCCTCCCAATTTTCCAATTTCTAGTCGCTAAGGAGAGAGTTAACATTGACTTAACAGCTTTAAAAAAAAAAAAAAAAAAAAAAGAGCGATGCTATTGTGAAGCAGAATTCTTATTTTTTTTATACTCTAAGTAGTGTCCTAGATGAAAAAGAGATGAGAATGAGGGGCCTGGGCGCAGTTTTGGAAATTGATCCCAAAGAGCCTGAGTAAACGGAAAGGCTGCTCCGCAATGAATGACAGCCGGAGCACCAATGGAACTTCACTTTTGTAATGGGATTTTTATTTTTGCTCTTTTCATAGTATCAGGGAAGCAAACTGCCTTTTACAAGTTAGAAAATGCTATTTGAATCTAGTTGAACCAGGGAATACAGAGAGAGCAATATGTAGCTTGAATTACGTTTAAAAGCAGATATTTTTTTTTCTTACAAACAAAACGGCGAACGCACTGATTGTCATTTTTAAGCAGTCACTACGGCCTATAGAACTTTGTCGAGGAAGAAGGTAGTGTCCATACTATCTCAAACCCGGGCATCGAACAATCAATCTGGGAGCGTGGCAGTGGGTACAATGGTGGACAGGCACCAAAGCTATTTTCTCATCTGTCCTGTGGATGAGTGAGACTGTGGAGCAAGTGATGTGGAATTAATGGGTGCAACAGCTGTACAGACAATCAATAACACACACAGTTCTGGAAAGAACACATCACTTGTGCTTGTTTGATGAGCTTGTCACATTCTAATCCCTCTCCCCATCCTGTTTCAATTTTGGGAAACTTGTATCTGCTGGTGTCAGCAATTCTGATCTCTAAACAGGATCAGGCATTTACTACAACAGCCTTCTCTTTCTATTTATTGTGTCGACTTGGGACTTGGAAATAAAGGCAGGTGAAGTTTGCAGATGCTAAACCCTTAAGAACTGTCTTAAGGATGTTTATTTTCCCCCCACCCCTTTTTAAATGATTTTACACTTTTTAGTATCTATTTCAGAGTCCTATTTAAAACTATTTATTAGTGAATACAGTACCTGAGACAACAAGGTTATTGAGATTACAATTCTTCAATGGTTAATGATAATGTGGTTTATACCGTGCCTTAATAGTAATGCTATTTAAGATATTTATTTTTAAGTTTTACTATGCTGCACTCTAAAGAAAGGAACTTTAGATGTGACGCTGTAAAATTATGTATTCATCTCATGGCATAAATTATTTAGTAGGTCTAGATGTAGCATATTAAATATTAACCTATTCAACTAAAGATGTTGACTTGGATTTATTTAAATTCATCTGTGCACTGTATAAGAGAATACTTTTACATTAACACATTTTAGTTTATTTTAGTCTTTGAGTTTTTTTTTTTAAACAAGCTACATTGCTAGTTTCATGCTTCCTTCTCTGATTTTTGCTTGTGTAGATCTCATTTATTGGTATTTCATCGCTGTAACACTATTCTTATGTAGTTTGTGTAGTTCTTAAATGCTGCTTTACATTTTTCTTCTGAAGCTGCAATACTTGCAATTTTTATTCTTAAACTAAATTGAATACTATTTTACACTGTATTGGATTTTTATACTTGAACAATTTCATACAAGGGAAGACAGGTTAGCATTTTTATGGACTTTCTCCATCGTCACTGGATTTACTCTACGTATTCCCATGCTAGACAGTGTTACGTAACGTAGACATGACTCTCCTGTGCAAATTATTTATTCATTGTGTATATTGCTTTATAACATTTCAGATCTTCTAATCTATTCACTTGTATTAAATATAATTTTTAAAAATGTCTGTTGCATTGTTTCTAATTCTGTAGTAAAAGTGAGTGATTTCTCCTTTTGACTAGTATCAACAGCCAGGACTCTCATGAAACTCCTGTGTGATCGGTTTTTGTCTCTTTAAAGTAAACTTTACTAAACATCCACTACGTACCAAGCAGATTAGACAGGACATCCCTCAAGGTAAACCTTAAAGAGCTATTCAGATCAGTGAACTTTGGTTAGGCTAAGATGGCATGAAAAGAATGGGTTATAGTCACAATCTAGATCGGCACAGTGGCGCTGGCGTCCGGTAAACTGAGGTGTGGAGCTAGATTCTACAACTTTCCAGCAATGTGAGTGGAGCAAATTGCTTTTTGTAACCCGCTTTTGGTAACATTTTTTATGTCTATCATGTGAATAATTGTATGGGGATAATTCTAAAACTATTAGCATGGTTGTGAGGTGCTGTTCCCTTTCCAGATACCTCTTCCAGACTCTTGTCCTGAACAAAGAATTGGACAAAAAACAAAGTAGGGATGCTTTACATTTGTTAAATGTAGGAGAAGAAATATGTTCTGCAGTGTGAGTGCAGGCCAGTGAAGGGTAGGCAAAGAAGGCCCCTGAGAAGGAAACAGGTAGTCATGAGACCATCAACCACCATCTTTATATACCTGATGTCAGATCTAGACTGTCCTATCAAAAACGTGCCAGAAGAATTGAAGATACCATCTTCTGATTGGTACAGGTGCAGGGTTTGGAAGCTCTTTTGTGCCTGTGTCCTGGGTCTCTGTAGTTGACAGGTCATTCTCACTTGCCCAGCCATTTTGCCACACCCTAATCATATGGTCATTTAAATATTGAAGTATACCAACTACCTGCTGCAAGCCAAATGTGCATTGGTGGTTGAACTAATGCCCACAGTGATAACTAACTGAAGAGGAACACATCTACTTGGATTTTTTTTTTTCTGTCCACAGTGATGTGATATTATCTAATAAGGTCTATGTTAGAACATCAAGTGAGTGTCACATCGAGCATATAAAAACATACATGTTATGCTAATTATTGGGTAACTGTTTGTTGATCCCTTGGTTCCAGTATTTCCCAAACTCATAATAAGTCTTTCCTGGAACTTCCCCATTAACTTTCCATAATTACAAGAAAAAAAACTATACTGACAGATTCCGTGTCACACTTTGTATTTTATAATTGCCATTTCATTTAGAACTGGAACAGGTTCAGTTTTAGTTGCCTTTAATTCTCAAAGGACAAATAGATACCAATGTATCCCGAAGGAGAGGTATTATTGCACCCGAAGGTATTACCTAGGGTAAGTAAAATAGTTTTGAAGCTACTTAATTCAGCCAGTGAACAAATGACTATTTCAAAAGACATGTTTTAATTTCCCAGTTTATGAAAGGTCACTTTCTGTCCTCAAAAAGGCATCTGTTGCTGAACTTGAGGCAGCATTTATCATTCAAAAATATGTCATGCAGTTCTGGGAAAAGCTTGTCAGGAAAGCCAAAATTCTACCTTCTGCTGGCTGGACCTTTCTTGAGGGTATTCCCTGGTGTATAGTAACAGCGGCACTATCAGCTCTAGAGACACAGGACTGTTACTTTGTAACAATAAGGCATACATTTCTAAACAAATAGCTTTAATATCAAGAAGAGAGAAACCATGACATGAAGTCTTCATTGGTTGAGCAAGCAACTGAGTGAGAGTAACATGTTTGAGATCTCAAGTGCTGGGTGAGTCCTGGTTTCATACCTACAAATCAGCAATCTTAAATCTCTCAAGTGGTAGCATATGAGTTGATAATACCCAGCATAGTTGTCTAGCTACCTCTCGGGTTGTATTGATGAAATAAATGCCATGATTTGCATATGGTTTGTCCCCTCTGGAACGCATGCTGAAATTTAATCCCCATTGTTAGATATTAAAAATTGGGACCTTTAAGAGGTAATTGAGGCTTTGCATTCATGAATGGATTAACCCACTCGTGTGATTAGTGGATTAGTAGATTAATGGGTTATCTCAAGACTGGGTCTGCTATTCAAGCCAGTTTGGTAGCTGTCTAGTGGAGTCCATGTCTCTGGGCATGAGGTACTCTGCTCCACCTCATGAAGAAGGTCATCACAGGGTGTGGGCCTTCAACCTTGGGCCAGACCATGAGCCAAAATATACCTCTTGGGGCTGGGGATTTAGCTCAGCGGCAAAGCGCCTGCCTGGCAAGCGCAAGGTCGTGAGTTCGGTTCCCGGTACCGGAGAAAAACCAAAAAAAAAATATATATATATATATACCTCTTCTCCATGTAACGAGTGCAGTCTGTGGTATTGTGTTACTACAGCAACAGGAAATGGACTAAAACAATGAAATAACTGATAACGACAGACTTTAGAAATCTTAAAGCATTTGAACAAATGAAATGGGCATATTGAGGTAACATATACGTTATTACTTTGGTAACTGATTCCAACGATCTCACTAAATGACCCCCCCACCAAAGAGCTCAAATTTGTATTTCATGTTGTTATTGTCATCCTATCTCAGTGAAATAACAGCTCAACTTGCCGTACAGTAACAGCAGCACAGAAGTAACATGGAGAGAGAGAGTGATTACCCAGATGGGGAAGGGGAGGTAGATGGGAAGATTATGGAATATATTTCTCTCACAGAGGAACTATATTTAGTCCTTTCCTTGCTCCTGTCAAATATTGTTCTTCTTAATTCCTTCTGAGGCTTGAAAGCGTTCATTAAGATGACAGCCTGAGGTTTGGAGGGGCAGAGGTGAAGAGGAACAAAAAAACAAATAAATGCATTTTCATGCTTACTTTTGTCCTCCCCTCTCCTTCAAGAGTTCCAGGCTGTTTCCATGGAAATTCTAACTTTGTTTTGCTTAAGCACTTTGTACAGAAGAGATTTCATTTTGAGTATTTTTTTCTGTGTTGAATTTTAGAAGCGCAATCGTGATTTTTTAGCTAAATCATTTCGACTTGAAGCTTTTGGTTTTTTTTATTGATGTAAGAATTGCACATATTCCTGGTGTACTGCACGATGCCTTTTACACATATACACTATGTAATGATCAAATAAGCCATTATCATTTCTGTGCGGTAAGAACATTCACAATCCTCTCCTCTGGCTATTTAGAAATGTACAGTGCATCGTTGTTAGCCATACTCACCCCGCTGTGCAATAGAACATCAGAACTCATTTCTCCCGTTACTGTAACTTTATACCAATCTCTCCCCAGCTACCCTCCCTACCAACCACCTAGCCCTTGAAGTGAATACAACCACCGTTCTACTCTGCACTTCTGTAAGATCATTTATTTTAGACTCCACGGGTGAGTAAGAGCATGTGCTATTTGTCCTGTACCTTATTTCACTTAAAATAATGTCCTCGAGGTTCATTCACCAGTTGTAAGTGACAGGATTCCATTCTTTTCCCTGACTGATTCATGTTCTAGTGTGTACATCTCTACATGTTTAAAATCTATTCATCTGTTGATAGACATAAGTTGATCCCATATCTTGCTGTTGTGAGTAGTGTTGAAATAAATACAGAAGTTCAGAAGCTTCTTTGACATACTGATTTAGTTAAATTCCTTGTGGAACCCCATACTGTAGTCCATAATAACTGCAATAATTCACATTTCCACCACAGTGTAGAAGAGATCCCTTTTCTTTATGCCCTTACCAGCTTTTCATTTTTGTCTTTTTGATAATAGCACATGTGAGAGAAGGCGATCTCTCATTCTGCTTTTGGTTTGCATTTCCCTGAGCATTATTGATGTTGAGCATTTTTCATATTCCTATTGGAATGTCCAAGGTAAGGAATTATAATTAGAAAGAAATGAGACAATGTGTGCATAAGTCCTTTAAAATGTTTGGATAAAAATGAAATATATTTATACTTAGAAATTAGTTCTATCTTATTATACAGTATTTGACCACTCTTAACCAGCTTCTTCAAGGTTGAAGTCCCCTGTCCAGTCACTTGCCTCCCAGATGACGAATATCATTGCTTTTTAAATGACCAATACGCCACCACCAGGCTATTATTATATTTTAAGTGGATCGGAGGGTGTATATTGTTGACCATTCTGCCACGCTTAGAGGTAGTTCCAGTTACATTAGAGCATAGATTGAGTACAAATCATTATTTCCTTTTACTTAATAGTTCAGATAATGCATTTGTGAAAGGGCACATATCTGAAACTCACTTCCAAATTGAATTTTAAAGAGAAAAATCACACTTTTGCCAAGTAAAAAGTTGTGTTGTAGCTATATTTTAATGTTATTTATTCATTCATTTTTGGTGGTACTGGGGATTGAACCCGAGGCCTGAGCTACATCCTTAGATTTTTTTTTGGTTTTGTCTGTTGGTTTGGTTTTGAGATGGTGTCTCACGACGTAGCTAAGTTGACCAAGCTGGGCCTGAACTTTTTCCTCTCCTGCCCTCAGCCTCCTACAGTGCTGGATTATAGCCTGTGCACTGGGCCCAGCGAGCTCTGCCTTTAGACAGTATTCATCTGCCAGTCCCACCCAGGTAAGAACTTCTCGCTTCTTCAATATTCCTGACTCTGCCGCCTGTCTTTGCAGATGCCTCAGGGGAAGTAAAAGAGATACAGGGAACGCTGTTTGAAGAATTATAGAACACACATTTCCCATTCTGCCTTCACTTGTATACAACTTAAAATCTGATAAATAGGGACTATGAAAATAATGAAGAAAGGGGCGGCTAAGATCTAAAACATCTCCCAAGAAACAGGCAAACAAGAGCATGAGATGAAGGAATCGGAGTCCTGGGGGCTGGGTCCTGTAAGCTGCCCTTGCCACCAAATAGCCCTCCTGGGAAGGGGGGTTGGTCATTGTCTGAGAGGCAGGAGAGTAGATCTGAAGATGGGGTCTGGGGCATTATTTAAAGAACAGTAATTGAGTACGTGGTTTCCTTCTGCTTTCTAGTTAAAGACAAGACAATAGCTGGATTCTTTTTCAGAACTTTTAATTGACAAATAATT